GGCCCCCGCAACAACCCCCCCCCCCCCCCCCCCCTCAACTAATCATCCCAGCCAGCCAGCTGTGACAGCGATCCCTGCAGCTTATGTCCCATTGTCCCACGTGATGACTCGGAGACCTTGGACCGCTGCAATGGAGGGAAAGAGATGCTCCAGGGACCGGTCTAAGAGCAATCCCGCTTGGAAGATTGGTTGAGTATAACTTTTTTATTTTCAACCCTGCACCAAAACAAACACTTAACGCTTGCAGTGTGGGGGTAACCCCACTGCAAAGATTAATAAATAATTTACCTGCAGCAGTTCTTTTTTAAATATAGAACATCTGTGTGCATAGACATAAAACAAATGCAGTAATGTATTATTAAGGATTGCACTTATTGCTGTTGGCACTGACCTGGTATTCCCTGCTTGTTTCTAATCAAAGAGAACGGACATTGGACGCTTCGGGGAAGAAGCAGTCACAGATCCCTTTTGAAGGCTGTACAGTAAGGAGAATCTATTTGGCTGTCTTAGCAGTGTAGATGTATTGCCCTCGGAGCTTCTGGTCATCCGGCCAGCACTGATATTAACCCTGTATGTGTAATATGTCTTCCTAAGGCTGCTTACTTGCTTGCTGTGGCTCTGGAAGGGGTTGGGAACGGTTAGAATTTACACTGAGGTCCTGAGTTTTGAGATGCTGATAAAGACTGGGCAGATACTGAGAATAGAGTAGTTAAGTGGAAAATGAAGGCTTAAAGTTAATTCCACCGGTCCCTAGCAATGTACTGTCTATGTTGATAGCTCTCCTGCTACCTTTCCTTGATTTAGACCTTACTTTATGTTAAGATCAGGGAGGGGGTCCATTGAGCAACCTGGACTTGTGGCAGCAGAGAGAATAAATCCAGCCCTGGCTGTGCCCATAAAATGAAAGCAGAGGGCCATTGACAAGTCACCATTATTATCCCTGCAGCTGATCTTCTCCACAGTACACTTACCATGTCTCATTCTGCACAGTGTCTCTGTGTGGAGGCAGCCATCTTGGTAGGGGCAGGGAAAACAGTGAGCAGCACAACAGTCACTAAATCTCAGTCCAAATCCCTTGAGACTAGAAGTCAGAGTCAGCAGTGCCTGAGATCTCAAAGTGCAGATATACAGCTATGAGGCTGTAGACACAGGAGTGACAATACCCTACATACAGGGAAGTGCACTGCCATTTTTTAGGAGGAATTCCAGATAAAAGTAGATTTTTGGATTACTTCTTATGTACAAATAGCATTTCTAGAGGTTCCCTATAGGATAGGATAGAATCTAAAGTGTTATAACAGATAGGAATCGGGAATTAATTTGACTAAACTCCATGTGATGTATTCATTTTAATGTTGTACCCAATAAAACTGGGATTCCACTTTCATTTTGAAATGCCAGTTATAACTGATAAACTGTAATATGCACATATTTCCAGGCTGTCGGCAGTTCTGTCATGAGTGTACTAATTCCAATGGAACCTTCTGCAAGGGAATTCCGCATAGATGTCCTTCAGGGTCAACCAGCTGCATAACTATGGTCTCAATAACCAAAATCGGTGAGTCAAATTTTGTAAACATGATGGATGAAAAGGGATTTTCAGGGTAGACCTCCAAAATGCACAGCCTTGTAGCAATGGTCAAGCAATCTGAAGCTAGGCTGGAAGCTTCTGCAAATCAAAGGGCTTCCAAAAGGGCTTCCCTAGGATGGGGTTAAAGAACACCTCCCACCTCCATTTTTCTATAGAGGGCACTGTAGTTCACAAAGAGTGCCGAGAACAATGTAACTGGGGACTCATAAATAGAGTTGGGAACAAACTTCACGGGGAGCCTTGATGGGGCAGTGTGGCTTCTACATATTTTTGTCCAAAGGTTTGTGCAACTAAAACCCTCTGCTTTTAACGCATACTGTTGACAGGGTAACTTGTTTTGTTGCAGGCCAGCTGGCAGGTGTGCTGGGGATTCTTTTTGTGTTTTGTATTGTTGTAAGCCTTCCCATGTGCACCATGCTACCATGGCTGGTTATAAATGTATGTGGTTACCATTTATTTCTAGCAGAGGAAGTGACCCTAGGATGGGATTAAGGAGCAGCTCACCCCTCCATTTCTCCCTAAAGGGCACTGTAATTCACAAAGAGCACTGAGAACAATGTAACTGGTAACAGTCTGCACAAGCAGAGAGCAGAGGAAGTCACCCTAGGATGGGATTAACCCCTTCGTGACTGACGACATACAGTGTAGGTCGCCAGCATCGGGGTTGTTTAAACAGACTCCCGGCGACTTTTGCCGCCGGGAGATAATAATAAAAATGTAAAAGTCCACCGCGAGCACGCTCGTTGCCACGTAAACACGCGTTGGGTGCGCCTATGTATGAACACGACAAACACGTTACACATGTTGGGTATCGCCGCGCACGCCGGAATGAGAGCAATAATTCTAGGGCCAGTATTTTGGGGTATCTCTAAATTGATGACCTGCGGGGCCTTTTAAAGCGTCTTCTGTGGACTTTTTGGGGTACTGCAGTTTTTTGCCGTTTCACGGACGCACCCAATTTGTAAACTGGGCATGTTGGGTATCGTTTTACTCGTTGTAACCTCATCTTTTATATTTCATTTAAAAAATGGGTATTTTGTTGTGTTGTGGGGCATTTAATTACATTTGTCACAAAATATTGTGGTTTAATAAGGAGTTGCGCTAATATTGCGCAATACAAAAATTTGCAACTACCACCATTATATTGTATAGGTCTTGGCATTCAGAAAATATATAATGTGTGGGGGTTTTAAGTCATTTTCAGGCCTAAAATGTGGAATATAACATGGGTGCAAAAAATGAAAAAATAAAGACCTCAGTCATGAAGGGGTTAAGGAACACCTCCCCCCTCCATTTCTCCATAGAGGGTGCTGTAGTTCACAAAGAGTGCTGAGAACAATGTTACTGTAACAGTCTGCACAAGCAGAGAGCCGGTCGGAGTCACCCTAGGATGGGATTAAGGAACACCCCCCGCCGCATTTCTCCATAGAGGGTGCTGTACTTTACAAAGAGTACCGAGAACAATGTTACTGGTAATAGTCTGCACAAGCAGAGAGCAGGGAAAGTCACCCTAGGACACCTCCCTCCTTAATTTCTCCATAGAGGGTACTGTAGTTCACAAAGAGTGCTGAGAACAAAGTAACTGGTAACAGTCTGCACAAGCAGAGGAAGTTATCAGCTTAGGAGATTTCTGGCAGGATCAGCAGTTTTGTTTTGCACTTATTGAACAGATACAACAAAGGACTTTTCAACCAAAAGGGACCAAATAAGAGAAGTGCATAGATGCAGTAGGGTTTACACACACTTTAAATGCTGTTTTTGTTATATAGGTAACAAAGTTGTGAGAAGCTTTCATCGTGGATGTAACGATGATCAGGATTTGTGTAACAGCGAATTTATCATGAACACCGGACAAGGCAATAAACAAGTACGTGTTGTTACTGAGTGCTGCTACAAGGATAACTGTAATAAGGACAGTATAGAGGGTAAGTCTTTTTTATTACTTTATAGACGTCAGTGTAAGTGCAACTAAAGATAGACAAAGAGAGAAATTTACACTACTGATATTAAGTAAAAAGTTGAAGATAAAAAAAATCACGTAGAGACGACCTGTTCAGTAGCTGGTATAAACAGAAAAATAAAAATAAGCTTTCATCCAGGATTGCCGAGCGGTGAGGATAGAGAGCCGCTGGGCCAGGATCTGCCAGCCGCTCGAGAGGATCTCTCTCTCCTCGCCGCTCGACCATCCTGAAGTGACAGAGCTCCCTCCTCCGCCCCCCG